GAGGTCGGGTGACAACAGAATGGGACACAACGATAAGGGAAATCCTGAAGGCAGAGATACCAGAATACAGGGAAGTCAAAACGAAGCCAAAGTCAATAACCAGAAATAAATAAACGCTCAGGAACACACTCTCGGACAACCACTAAGGGAAACCATGACAGGGCAATGAGGAAAAGGCAAAAGGAGTTTAAATAAGCCTCTCTCAGATCCAATTGGCCGTACGCGACCTTTGACCTCAGAACGTGCATGCGCATCCTTTACGTGAGGTCACACGCACGCCGACATCATCAATGCCGTGGGCGATCAAGGGGTTACAAATTAGTGTGGATCCTCGGTGACCGGCGTCCACCAACAGGCTGCAGGAGTCAGACTCACTTAATGCATGGCCGCTGAACGGCACTACCGCGTTTGTTTGCAAGGCAATTACTGCAGATGCCGCAAGGTGAGGATAAATACGTTACAGTGGATGATCAGGTCGGCCGGAAGTGATGCAACGTCACTTGCAGCACGTCACTTCCAGTTTTGCTGGCTGATCAATGTTAGTCTGTAATTGAGTCCTCCTCCTCCATTTTGGAGAAGGAAAAAATGAAGGGAAAAGAGAGCAACAATCAGTACATATCTTTAGTAGGGAATAAAAATACAATCAGTGTATTCTCCTGCTGGATAATGAGTCAATCAATATAAATCTAATGTGGTTCAAACAGAGTAATTTGGTCCAATGAAGGATAAAAGATAATATAAAAATAAATATAAAGATAAAAATAAGAATAGGAATTCTTAATATAATAACCTATATGAGCACCGCTGCACTTTTATAGAGCCTTACCGTTCAGGCTCTGAAAATTGGGAAAAAATACAAAAAATGTATATAAGGCGTTTAACAGTGATTTTATTAATTATAATTGTGATATCAGCAGCTATTGCACATTAAGTGGATATCCCAAAAAATCCCCTTGGAACAAGAGATATAGACAAATTTATTACAAAAAAACAAATAAAATCAAAGTTGAAAATACAAATATAATTAAGCAATAAGTCCTTCCTTTGGTCCTTCTACTAATCCAAGACTCGTTTCACCGGTAAGGGCTTTCTCAATTGGTGTTTTATTTGTAATAAATATACACTTTTTAAATTTAAAAGTCCCCTTTTTATCTTCATCTTCTCTGCTTTTATCTCCATATTTGCTGCTGAGGATAAAAAACACAGAAGAAGGTCCCCTGGTGCCACCTAAAAGGCCCAGACTCGCCTTTTGTTTAAAGCCGATAATGAAAAAGGCTCTACAAAATGTGAGTTTATTTACATACTCACTTTAATATACATCTGTAAAGTAATATATTACACTATTATATTTTTTTTTATTTCTTACATGTGGAAAATCCCCTACATATATTGAGGGGTTAGTGTAAACACATTTAAAGCGCTGCACTGGTGGACTCTGTGTGTTGGGAAGTGGGGTTGATCACCCAAACACTGAGTTTGTTTGTTGTCTGTATCTGAAAATTGGGAATTCTTCTCTTATATTCATTTTGCACTTTATTTATTTACCAGTACCATCTGCACTAGTGTTTCTTCTGTGTTTTACCCCTTTTTATGTATTCAAGTACACCAGAATCTTCATACTTGATTACATAAGGTAAGCAATCATTATGAAGAATTATATAATATGTGGTACGGCTATGGGGACCAGGTGAACACCCAGTTATGCCAACCTGTTTATGGCGCATTGGGAACAAAGTTTTGTTTTCAGTGGGCATGATTGGGTGGGGAACCTGGTCACTTATCACCGGTACATTGATGATTTTTTTATCTGGAATGGTCCAGAGGAACATTTCAAACTATTTTTAGATCATCTAAATGCTATCAACTGGGGTATGGTTCTTACAGCTAATTTCAGCAAAACTGTGGATTTTTAAGATCCCAAATTATTTATAGACCACAATAAAATTAACACTAAAACCTTTTTTTAAACCTGTGGATATAAATCGTTATATCCAGTCCTCTAGATGCCATTACCACCCATGGTTAAATGGCATTCCTAAATCACAATTCCTTAGGATAAAGAGAAATTGCACAAATTAAAGGGACACTCCAGGCACCCAGACCACTTCTGTCCAATGGAGTGGTCTGGGTGCCAACTCCCATCCCCCTTAACCCTGCAAGTGTAATTATTGCAGTTTTTTATAAACTGCAATAATTACCTTGCATTGTTAAGTCCTCCTTTATCAGACAGCCACTAGATGGACTTCCTGGTTCTTAAATCCCAAAAAGTGTTTTAAACAATGGACGTCCTCATGCTATGCATGAGGACCTCCAGCGTCACCAGAATCCCCATAGGAAAGCATTGAATGCTTTCCTATGGGGAGGTATAATGCGCGCGTGTGGCCATTGCCGCACATTAGGTGTCCCCCACTGGCTGATGTCAGCGGGGGAGGAGCATGGGCGGAGCCTGACCCAGCGCTGAGGGACATCAGCGCTGGATTCAGATAAGGATGGGGAGTGGGAGGGAGAGGAGCACTGTAGGATTCTGCAGTGCCAGGAAAATGGATGTTTTCCTGGCACTGGAGAGTCCCTTTAAGAAAATGTAAACAGGCATCTAAATTAAGTAAAGATTATAAAGAGAAAGGTTATGACGAAAATAAAATTATTTATTAGTTTTAATGAAGTTTTAACAACAGAAAGAAATTAACTTTTAAAATATAAACATAAGGACATATGACAAGGCAAGAAAATGTACCTATTCTATATGATTTTAGCTAAAACAGCCATAAATTAAAGAAAATCATAAATAGACATTGGTCAATTTTACAACAAGATCCTTAGCTACATGATATCCTAACGGACAAACCAACAATTATCTTTAGAAGAGCACCTAGTTTAAAACAAAAACTGGTTAGTAATTGTATAAAAATAAAGAAAAACTAATTCTTTTTAAATCAGAGTAAAGGTTTTTTTGGACATGTGAGAAATATAAAAAAAGCGTAAGAAGGACATAGTGTACCATCCCATTTTAAAACACACCATAATTATAACCCATTAGATATGCAATTCTTGGGTATACAAAAAGTATCAAGATCGTGGAGAGGTGGGGACCATCCAATAAATTAGGAAAGGCAGAAATGGAATGGATATTTAAGTTAAATGCTCTACAGCCAAGCAGTCTTAACTCTGATTTTTAACTCTGTCACTTTCTAAATTGATCATTTCCTAGATTTTTTAATTTTGTAATTTTCAGATAGGTGCATACAGGCCTCAGGAACATTTCATTTATATACAATGTATATATATGTGTGTGTGTTTGTGTTTTTAATGTGTGTGTTTTTTTTTATATATATAATTGTAACATAAATATTTTTAGTATACATGATTTTTATATGTATATTTTTTATTTTATATATCCTAAATATGCACCTGTTGATGGCCTTCAGCATCTACATTATTATTTTCAATATAGTATAATTACTCTGTTTGCACCAAATTTGATTTATATTAATTGACTCATTATCCAGCAAGAGAATACACTGATTGTATTTTTATTCTCTACTAAATGGATGTATTAATTGTTGCTCTCTTTTCCCTTAATTTTTCCCTTCTCCAAAATGGAGTGTTTGACCTCCCTATGGGAAGAGGACTCAATTACAGACTGATATCTATCTGCCGGAGAAACTGGAAGTGATGTGTCGCAAGTGAGGTTGCGTCACTTCCGGCCGTCCCGACCGATCATCCACATCACTAATATCACCGGATATGATGTCTTTTCCGGCGCCTTAAATTGACAGCTCACTGGAGTTTGCTTGAAAGTAGGCTATTTAAAGTAGTCTCTTTTAAGTAGGAGTTGAAACAGGAGTTTCTTAGAGAACTGGTGGACTGTGGTTGGTATTAGTTAATAGCAAGTGAAAAGGCAGTTTTTTTTTTTTTTTGTTTTTTTTACATCAGAATATGGTGTTTGTTATTTCATACTTTATGTGTATCAAAATTGACTTTATCAAACACCAAATCATCATTTGTTTTATTTTTTATATATATATATGTATATATATATATATTATTATTATTATTATTATTATGATATTTATAGAGCGCCGTCAAATTCCGCAGCGCTTTACAATGGGTGGACGAACAGACATGTAGTTGTAACCAGGCAAGTTGGACACACAGGAACAGAGGGGTTGAGGGCCCTGCTCAATGAGCTTACATGTTGGAGGGAGTGGGGTAAAATGACACAAAAAGGTAAGGATAGTATTAGACTAATGACAGTTGCAGAAGAGGAATCAGTCAGGAGCTGTTAACAGTTTAATTGATACGCTTTTATGAAGAAGTGGGTTTTTAACGATTTTTTGAAGGAGTGGAGACTGGGTGGGCATCTAACGGAGGAGGGAAGTGAGTTCCACAGGAACGGTGCAGCCCTCAAGAAATCTTGAAGGCGAGCATCAGAGGTGGGAGTACGGACAGAAGATAGACGTAAGTCTTCAGCAGATCGTAAGGGCCTAGATGGGACATACTTGTGTATAAGGGAGGATAGATAGGTGGGAGCAGCATTATGTAGAGATTTGAAATCAAGAACCAGAATTTTAAATTGAGCTCTATATTTTATAGGAAGCCAATGTAGCGATTGACAGAAGGGTGAGGCATGGGAGGTGCGGGCGGACAGGAAGATGAGCCTCGCCGCCGCATTCATTATGGACTGTGTGACGGAACGCTGGCACTCCGACTGAGTACCTCCGCCAATCGATGCTCCTAGTGCTTGCCGAGGACTCCAAGCACTCCAACCGACACCATCAGCACTGCAGACCCCACTTCCAGCGATGCAACTGCGCCGGGGTCTCTGCTGTCTCCACCCACCCTGGACCCAAGGCCAGGATCCAGCTTCCAGTGGGTGAACCTCTCTTTCCCCAGAGAGCAGGAACAGGAACAAATCAAGAGCTTCCTCTGGGGAGTAAGTGATTATAGCAATCCCCAGAGTGTAGGTATCCCTTCCCCCAAACATGAGCCAAGGCTTAATGCTGGAACAAGACTGATTTACTGGCACACAGAACTCACAACTTATGCAACACAAAACTCCTCCTCTGGGCCAGGCTAGATAATTGAGTTTCTACAATACACAAAGCTCAATTATCTGCTGGCCAGAAACATTAAAATTTCATAAAACACACAGGGACCCCAAAACATGCAATAACCCCATAAAAAGTATATCCTTGGAACCGGGGGATCTGGGTGAACCACATATCCAAAATTCACCCAGATCCGTTCAGTACTTTGGAAAATACAGTTTAATGCAGATTCTGCAGAACATATACAGGCTAAATGAAAAACAATTACTGTATAATGTGTCCCCTGCTGTATAGTCCAAAACACACTGCACGATGTCTCTGTGCACCAATTACTGGCGAGATGGCACCGTGTTGAAAAGTCCAAACAGTGTCTGTGAGTTAAAATGGCCGCCATCCATTGTTCTCACCATGTGCTTCTGATACAGGAAATGGTGGCCACCCAGTAACTCCACAGTATGTCCCCAGATGGTTCTTAAGGGCCAGCAGCAGCACAACACAAATCCATTATGCCCAAATCATGTCTTTAAAGGGCAATACATCCCAGGGGCCATAGTCACAGGGCAAGAGGCGGGCAAGCAGTCCTCTCCAGGCACAAGTGGCGAAGGGCACTTCGTCACAGACTGTAACGGCGCTAGTTGGGAGCACGTAAGACCACTGAGAAGTGGATTACAGTAGTCAAGGCGAGAAAGGACAGTGGAATGGACCAACACCTTAGTCGCATCTGGCGATAAGTAGGGGCGGATGCGCGCAATGTTTTTGAGATGGAAATGACAGGATTTGGCGATAGATTGAACATGAGGCTTGAAGGAGAAGTCGGAGTCAAAGATAACACCTAGGCAGCGAGCCTGCATGGTGGAGCTGATGGTAGCACCGTTGACTTGGAGGGAGACAGACACAGGAGTAACAACACTTGAGGGAGGAAAGATCAGAATTTCAGTTTTGGTCAAATTTAGTTTAAGGAAGTGGGCAGCCATCCAGTTAGAAACAGCAGAGAGGCAGTCAGAGACTTGCGTGTCATCTGCATAGAAATGATATTGGAAGCCAAAGGAGCTAATGAGTTTACCAAGGGAGGCAGTATAAATGGAGAACAGTAGGGGACCAAGGACTGAACCTTGGGGGACACCAACAGAGAGCAGTTGGGGAGAAGAAGCAGAGCCAGAGAAAGAAACACTGAAAGAGCGCTGGGAGAGGTAGGAGGAGCACCAGGAGAGCGCAGTATCTTGTAGACCGATATTGCGGAGGATGAGAAGAAGCTGTTGATGATCAACAGTGTCAAAAGCCGCAGACAGGTCAAGCAGAATTAGGATAGAGTAGTGACCATGAGATTTTGCAGCGAGTAGATCATTGGATACTTTGGCCAGTGCCGTTTCCACAGAGTGCTTAGCGCGGAAACCAGCAGATAGGGTCTAGCAGACAGTTGGACTCGAGGAAGTCTGTCAATCTCGCATACAGAGATTTTCTTCCTATCTCCCATTTTAGTTTATCTTAATTTCCTTTAATTTTTATTTTAAATACCAAATATACATACAGACTAACTAAACAGACATTTGTTTGGTTCACAGTGTACCGGAAATAAATAGATAAATCAAATAAGCGGTCCGAGGCAAGGGGTATCCCAGCAAACTCCTGTTTTGGGTAGGGATTGCTAGACTAAAAGTGAGTATATTGCAAGAGAAAACAATTAAAAATAATTCATTGTCCCGGGTCTAATTTTTTTATCCATCTATCCCAATAACTATAATAGTAGCCCTTCTTTGGGGCAAAGTTCGTAATAGCTCGTTCCATTTTGCACTAAAAAATGCTTTGATGGTGAATCTTGGCCCAACTATCCACCCTAGGAGACTTCCAATTTCTGGTTATTGATGTTTTAACAGCCATTAGGATTTGAAAAATAATTGGTCTGAATTCTCTATTAATCAGTCCCATATACATATGTAATAAGGCCATATTTGGAGACAAATTAAATTCCTGTTCCAATAAAGTTGACAAATATAGGTTTGTCGTCTCCCTAGGCAGGACAAAACTCAGGCACCCTTCCCCCCCGCGCCAGCCCCACCCAACCCTTCCCCCCGCCCCGCCTTCTAAATACACACACACACATTCACTGACAGCTACGCATACACATGCTAACAGACACACTCACTAACAGACACACACACACTCACTAACAGACACACACTCACTAACAGACACACACTCACTCTAACAGACACACACACGCTCACTAACAGACACACACACTCACTAACAGACACACACAACTCACTAACAGACACAAACACTCACTCTAACAGACACACACACACTCACTAACAGACACACACACACTCACTAACAGACACACACTCACCTCTAACAGACACACACACACACTCCTAACAGACACACACACACACACACACACACACACTAACAGACACAAACTGTCAGACACACACACTCACACACACACACACACACACACTAACAGACACACAGTCAGACAAACACACTAACAGACACACACACACAGTCAGACACACACATACACACTAACATACACAAACTGTCAGACACACACACACACTAACAGAGACACACACTGACAGACACACACAGTCAGACACACACATACACACTAACAGACACACACAATCAGACACACACATACACACTAACATACACAAACTGTCGGACACACACACACACTAACAGACACACACACTGACAGACACACACAGTCAGATACACACATACACACTAACAGACACACACAGTCAGACACACACATACACACTAACAGACACACACAGTCAGACACACACAGACACACACAGTCAGACACACACATACACACTAACAGACACACACAGTCAGACACACACATACACACTAACAGACACACACTAGCAGACACACTCACACAGTCAGACACACACACACATTAACAACTTTTTTTTTTTAATTTACCATCCCCCCCCTTTGGGAATGCTGGGGGGGTTCTCTATCTCCCTGGTGGTCCAGTGGCTGCGGGTGGCGCTGGGCGGGCGGGCGGCTGGCGAGGGAGCTCTTCCTCTGAGCTGTCCACTCAGCTCCCTCGCGCGCCACAGAGTGAAGCTGGGAGCAGGAATATGATGTCATCAACCCGGCTCCCAGCCTCACTCTGCGGCGCGTGAGGGAACTGAGCGGACAGCTCAGAGGAAGAGCTCCCTCGCCAGCCGCCCGCCCGCCCAGCGCCGCCCAGCCCGCTCAGCATGTCTGTTAGCCGCAAGGCTAACAAGGCATTTGCCCTGGGCATTTTGGGGGGGGGCGTTTTTTGCCGCCCCCTGAAAAATGCCGCCCAAAGCAAATGCCTTGTTTGCCTCGCGGCTAAAACGCCCCTGAATAAGGGTCTGATTATCGGACAGTCCCACCAAATATGTTTAAAATCTGCGGTTGATTCAGTACATCTCCAACAATTAGGGGGGACTGTAGGATTCATTTTTGCTATTTTTTTAGGAGTTCTATACCATCTATTTAATATCTTATAGTGAGTTTCATGTATATTCAACCAGTGGCAGGCTTTGTATAATGCGTTGATGGAGTTATTCCATTCTTTCATAGTTATATCTATTTTCAAATCATAATTCCATTTATTTATTGCCGAGGGAATTGGTTTGATCTGAGCCTTACATATTAATTTTTGGCATTTATTGACTAGATGAGTATAGTCTGATTGTTCATATATATCTGACAGAAACTTGACTGAAGGTTCAAGAGGATTAAATCTTAAAAAATGTTTTTAAAAAGGATATTGCCCGTATATAGTTAAACCATTCGATGAATGGTATACCATATTCAGTTTGAAGTTGTTCAAAAGATTTTAGTGTACTTCCTCTCAGGATATTAGATATCTTTTCTATACCCTTAAGGATCCATGTTTCCAAATTTATATTTGTCATTAAATTTGATAGAATATCTAGATTTATACCAGGAATTATCTTCATTTTTAAAGCAATTTTTTTTTAAATTGAGACCAGGTGGGGAAAATTTGTTGGACTATCAGTGATTTGGAATTTTTAATAATTTGATCTGTTTCTTTATCTATGGACCATAAGAGGAATTTATATTCCCTGTCTCCCGAAATCAGGGTCTGTTTTCTTTTATACCAATTTTGAATTATAGAATCTTCCTTGTTTACTAGTAAAACATGTGCTAATAGGTTGGCTTGTGCTATATCTTGAATAATTGGAATACTCATACCTCCTTCATTTTTTCTCCTAGACATAATGTCTTTTTTTATTTTAGGTTTTTTTCCTGACCAAATAAATTTAGTAAATGATGACTGAATTAATTCTAACCAACTGTCAGGGATTTTTAAAGGAATCATTCTCATAATATATGAAAATTTTGCCTGACCAGGAGATTTCCAGATTTTTCCATTTTTTTAAATTAAGGTTCATTTATTTAATTACCAACTGATCATCCACATCACTAATGGGTGCCGAAAATAATGCCTTTTCCGGTGCCTCAAATTGACAGCTCACTGGAGTTTGCTTGAAAATAGGCTATTTAAAGTAGTCTCTTTTAAGTAGGAGTTAAAACAGGAGTTTCTTGGAGAACTGGTGAACTGTGATTGGTATTAGTTAATAGCAAGTGAAAAGGCAGGTTTAATTTTTTTAATTGTTTTAAAAAAGTTTTTCTATCTTTTATAGATATTTTTAATCTTTGCTGATTTTATTTATAACTCCCTTTTTTATTTATATTTTCCTCCTTGCTGTTTTAATTTATAAACTTTTTTCTTATATACATTCATATTTATTTCTTTGCTGTTTTTATTTAAAACGTTGTCCCTTTTTTATTTATATTTTTCTCCTTGCTGTTTTTATTTAAAACTTTTTTTTGGTAACTGGGGATGAGTGCTAGCAAGACTGCAAGTTTTACTCAATGCACATCCTTCTGCATATATGCATGCCTAGATGAATCTGTTCAAGGTCCATACCTCTGTGTGGGTGTGAGCGAGTGGCTTTTCTGGAAGCTCAGATTGGAGATCTGGAGAGGTAAATTGACAACACTGAGGGAGATTGACAATCTTGAAAGGAGTCTGCTGCTCACTGAGCAGAGTTTAGTGGGTGCAGGTAGTGGAGTGGGAGGAGATGAGACAGTTGGTAAACAGGCAGATAGCTGGGTAACAGTGGGGCAAGGAAGCAGGGGGGGAGGGAAGAGTAAAGGTTTACCTAGTCCTGATCTTGTGCAGCCAAACATA